GATGGGTTGCGGTTAAGAGTTGAATGCATGACGTGCGTTTTATCCACTATGGAATGTAACCGGTTAAAGTTTTCATTCAATTTAGAATGGATCTGATTTTCCCGTTGCACAAGTAAATGACTGTTTGAAATCAGTGGTTAAGTGGATAAAGCAACAATATCTAAGGCAAACAGTATTAAGTTGAAATCTTGGAGTAGATAGACATCAATTTGAGGATGCAGTTACACTTGGATGTCGACTGCTGAATAAAAAGAAACACACATTGTGGATTTCATTACTGGTTACATTTCATCTGTTCGATATCAATTTATGCTACTGTTAGTCTACAGAGACAAAATATTAGTGTTTATAGCATGGGAATTCTTTTCTCAATTGTAAGATCCATTTTTGAAGGTTTTGTTTGTGAAACTCCCTCCATTTGTAATTTGTCCTTATTGATTCCTTCGGTTGTACATTTTGTTAGTCTCTTCGATTCCATTTAAAATGAAAATATTTGTATTTTATTATCGTTTCTATTTGTTCTGCCTTCACTGAGTTTATATTCTTTCTTTCTGAACTGAATTTATGTTGTTTAAGCTGATACTTAGTCATGGTGACAGCCATATTGATTTGTCCCCCTTTCGATTGACTTGCTTGCATGGACTGGAATTGTGCATTTTGTTTGTAGATTGGAGTACTATTCTAGAATATGATACACTCTGTGTTATAAAACAACCAAATATTATCTGTCGTACAAGTCTGATCTATCCAGGAGTGACAAAATATCATTTACCTGAATAATTGAATAATTGTTGGTGGAATAACTGTCTAGGTAATATTTGTTTAGTTAATGATGTATATTCATATTTATGATGATTATTAGAACTGTTATTTACCCAGATCACTTGTTTTGATTTCAACTGGGCAAGACGCGTATCTAACCTACCTAGACAGTTATTCCTTAATCTAAACCTCATTTTGGATCCTACATCTGTTACCATTCGAAAGAATTTGTACTGTAACCTTGTTGGTACACAGAGTATCAGAATTTATTATGCTCTGTTGGTGTATGGATTTATTGAGTTGATTGCTTGATATAGTGACTGTAGTCACAAGTTAACTATGTTTTTGTATAGTGGTTAGTTGTAGAATCTAGGATGTATGTTTCTGTATGTCTTCTGTAAGTACCCTAATCATGATACTAGCATTCACGTTAAGACATGAAATAAATCTAAATTGTTTCAATTGCTTGGTTGTTATTCAATGAACTACTGAGTTACTTCATCATTCGATTGGTTTAACGACAGGAAAATACAAAACCGTACAAATGATAACAACAAAAGGCTTTTTAGTACATTAATTGGGAATATATACAAAATAACAAAGCTAGAAAGCAGCACCAAGTGAAGAAACAAGTTGACAGTGCGTCTAGATAACGAGTAGCTAATCTATTTCATAACATTTTGACTATCTGTAAGTTTGAATTAACTTGTTTTATTGAAATATTTTGCATGGAATCTGAAATTAAATCATGATGTCTAAGAATTCTTGTTTATATATTTGTAAATTTATACTGTCGATAAAGATACTGAGGATCCGTTTGGCCAGACACTATCAGCAACAACCTACTGGGGAGGGAACAAACCAGATTCCAGTTGAGGAGGAAATTAGGAAAATGTGCTACAGGTGTAGAGGACACATATTGAGGAAAGCACCCAACTGTATCACATGGCAAGCCGTTACTTTCATTCTTCAAGGCAAAAGGTAAAGTGTAAGAATAAATAACATATTACTCCGAGTACTGGAGACAGACATGAGGAGAATGAACAGCAGTTGGATAGAAATGACAAAGAAGACTCAGTATAGAGTTAGTTGAAGAATTCTGGTGGGCGTCCTGTGCTCCAATGTGGGTAACAGGAATCAGTATGTAGATGAGCGAAAGATGAAATTCCATGTCAATGAAGAGTCAAAATTTTGAAACACCACATATCATTGATGTTTAGACAATTCGATAATACTTTAAACACCTAGTTAGCTTTCCGAATTAAAATAAACCAAGAACATTAACAAACAACGTCAATAAGTCCATTCTTATTAGTACCTCCAAGTGTATTTCGCAAAGTACATGTACGTATCAAAGCATATAACTCGAAAGAACAAGGCAGTTTTCTCTTAGATAACTGTTATTTCAACTCCTTAAAACGATCAACTGATTTATCTATCATTTTCAACCACTTAATTCTTAAAATATAAGCAAGCTCTTGAAATATCCCATCATTATTGCATGATCGGTTTTATCGATTTTCAAAATGTAGTTAAGAACAGTTACATTACTTCTATACTTTGTGCATCTTTCGTCAAAAGACCTTACATATCTATTTTTATGGAGTGATAACTTACAATATTTTATTTGAAGAGAATGGTGTCTTTTTAATTGGCTGGAAGATAGCTCGGGGCAGCCAGAGTAAAACATGGCACAAACCCATCAAATCACTGATCACTGGATTGAGTCATGTTGGTAAATGGAGACTACCAGGTTGGGGTCCACGAGATCATAGTAATCGATGGTCAGAGATCTGGAATGACATGGCTCGAAACCGTTTTCAATGGTGCAGAAGCATCCATTCATTATCTTCCCTCAAATTCTAATCTTTTGAATTTCTCACCACTTCTATCTTTCTCTTTTTAAATTTATTCCACTGAATTATACTTCTTGAATCTCCTACTCCCTTTACGACTATGGAATTTGAAACGAGACTTCCATTTCTCTGTGCGAATATGGTATGGCAACTTGAAACGATGTATCTACGCACGTACGTATGAAGTTCTACGTTGTAGCTGACTGACCGAATAGTCATATTATGTACACAGTCAAATCAATCAGTAGGAATAGTCAACAAACACCAAAAATAATGAAACGAATCACAGTCATTGAGTCACACAAACTTTTTCATTTGCTGATTGGTTTTTTCAATCGATTCCATGCATGACCTATAAGTCTGTTGTTAATAAATAAAGACTGCTTAATTACACTTGATTGACTGGGTTAAATTACACTTCAGTTAATAATCTGTTTAGCTTTATACTCTGATTCATTTAAATTGTTTTCCAATGGTTTTAGCTTTCTGTTGATAGATAATAGAGACACATACACACACACACACAAACCTATGAAGAAAAATAATTTAGTTTATTTTGTGTTTCAATGACCAATAAATTTTAAAATAAAAATCACATATATATGATCGATTTTTATTTCCCCGGGAATATACACACTGAACTAAGTACTAGCCTAATTGCCTAGGACAATATTGTACATTCGATTGTACAATTACAGAGTTACTCAGTAAAATTGGAAAACCATATCGTAAATCGTTAATCTGCAAAATATCAGTCCATCATATCTAACTGGACTGTTCCTGCTGCAAAACATCAATCCATTGTCACTATTCATGCGTTTCATACAAATGCCATTGTGTTCCCACTCTTCCTTTCTTGATCTTCCCCCATCTTCTGCTGCCAGACATTACGTGGACACTCACGTTATATACTACTTATAAGTAGCTCGCACCACAATAGGAATTCTTTAGAGTTTCATCAATACGTTGAAATCATGAATCGATCATTCTTAGATCACCATTAGGAACCTGGATGCACTGGACAGTAGTTTTAGCCTAGTAGGGGACTCATCAACAGTGAGCATCGAAAACTCCTACTACTCGCAGGATTCAAACCCAGGACCTCTTGTCTTGTGCATGAACGTTCAACTTCTGCACCAATGCACCAGTGTCCAATGGTGTTAATGTCTAACTCTGATCAATCTAAGGATTTTCACGTAACCTTACTCATTGTCTTACCTATACCCAACAGGGCTGAACTCCACTGGTGACGTTTTATCATCGTCTACAGACGATTCAGTAAAATTTGAAATTATTCTCTAACATTTTGTTTAATTTGCGTTATGGGCTTGTGAAGATTGTTGAGTTACTTTTTGAAATCATGAATCGATCAATGTTAGATCACCATCAGAGACCAGTTGAGGTTCATTCCTGTTCAAGTGTGAAACAGTGTTCACCGAAGACAGTGGATGAGGTTGCGCAAGACCGTGGATCGATCGAAGTTTGACATTAACATCGTTAGATACTGACTTCGTGGTTCAGAGGTTAGGAGTTCGCGCAAGGCCAAAGGTCCTATGTTCGAATCCTACAAGTTGCAGGAGTCGTGGATGTGCACTGCTGACGTGTCCCATACCGGAACAAAACAGTCATCGGGTGCTTCTAGGTTTCTAATGGTAGTCTAACATCGATTGATTCACAATTTCAGAAAAAACAATTCTGTGAAATGATAATAAGATCATTTATGGGAAATAATTATTGGCACTTAATAATGCGAAACAGTAGAATGATTTTTTTTCAAAAGAAAAAAACAACAGCAGTTGTTACTTTAGCTAAGATTTGCCAAAAAAGGTAATAAAAATTTCTTAAATCAATATGGGCTATTTTATTATTTTTTCATTTTTTCATTCAACCAATCATCTTATCGGTGTTGCACATTCTATGCACATGTGAATTTGCAGACAGACGTAGAGTGGAATACACAAATACACACTGTATATACATTGTGTACATTTGTTCATATAGACAACAAAAAGAGGTCAAGCCATACAAGCGTTGGATTGGTTCTTTTTCCTAACGCATGTGTAACAAAAATCCCAATCGGACTGTTCACGTGCATTGATCTTCCCCTGAAGATCAATAAGTTTCTCCTTCTGTCTCTCTCCCACTCTCTCCCACACTGTGTAACCCGTTTCGATTTATATAGTAGGCAAGACTACGTACGACATTCAATCTAGAGTTAGTTACACAACAACACACAGTCAATTTTCGATCTTTCTCTTGCAAAAAAAAAGATTTTCATTCAAGGACTGTTTTGTTTTTTTTTTCCTTGAAAAAAAATACATAAACGCCATTTTTCTTCACTGTTCAAGTCAATACATATTTGTGTTGTGCGTTAGCTATAGAGTTTCAAGTGAATTACTTACTTACACTTTTCACACAAATATTACATAATCCTGTGTAACATTTTTCCACACAAAATCAATTCCATTGGAAAGTTTAATACATTTTGATTAGTGATATATATATATTTTGCAATTTGATAGGAAAATAAAGGTGAGTACAATGTTTGGATTTAATTTGAACTTGATTTATCCACTCGTTTAAAAAAATGTAATTGAAACACAGTTTGGAAATCAATGCTGATCAATGCTGAACTGTTCAATGGATAGACTAAGTAGTTGTTCAATGACCACATCTGTTAAAGTACTTAGTGGGAACATTCTACTAAGTCGTGAAACTATTATAACAGTTCTTATCAGTGTAATTGCTTGACTTTGATAAGTTATAATTCGGATTATCTCTTGCATGGTTTATACTACGGTATAAGATCAGTATTTCGTAAACTATTGTTCATAGATGACTATTTTTAGAATGAGTTTAAATGCATTCGTGAACTGTAGTTTAGAAATCTACCCAAGATTCTGTAATATTATACATTCCTTTCAATCAGTAATTCAGATGGCACGTATCACAGAGGAATCTTAACCCAGTGTACTCAGTATCCCAAACCTGGACATGATCGCACTCAATTAGAAATTCTAATGGTCCTGTACTAATGAAATGTCTTTTAATTCACTCAGACATTCTGATTGAGTATAGTTTTATAAGTTGATAGTATTTTAGAGCATAAAATAAAATTTGTTTCCTGAATATTAGATATTTTTATAAATACTGCTAAATTGTTCAGTTAGATTATAAATAAAAATGTTCCAGTCTGAGTTTAAATACCATTTCCTATTCTCATATCTTAGCATAACTAGCATAAACTGAGCTTAACAGATAGTAGGATTTATTGTATGTGTGTGTGTGTGTGGATAAGCTTTATATAAATGTGTCTGAATATGAATGTAAAATGGTCACTATAAGCTTATAGTACTAACAGAAAATCCTAATTTTAGTAATTCTGTGTCCTAACAAGTTGGATGATTCGATTGTAAAGCATTTTAGCATCATCCTAAATAATAGCATTAGCTTCTGTTGCGATTCTGCGTTTAGCAGTCATTGAAGCTCAACCGGATCACCACCAAAAGCATCCGTTTATATCGCATATTTTTCCCATAATTACTGTTACATACCTAGTACAACGTGTGTATTTTTCCTAACCAAAAGAAGGGAAAACATAGTTGTTTACTGTATAAGGTGCATACTCATGGAAAAGTATATATATGTATATATATATATATATATATATATATATATCAACAGCAACGTAGAACTTCGTACGTACATACATCAGTTCATGTTGCCATACCACATTAGCACAGAGATGTCATTGTTAATTCGAATCCCATACTAGTAGAGGTATTAAAGGTATCAACAGTAAGTGGAGAGATTAGGGTTCGGAGATATTATTCAAGAAGTAGAATGTAGTGAAATAAACTTTAAAAGATATAGAGAGGCGATGAGGAACTTCGAAGGTTAGAATTTAAGAGAACACAATGAGTGGATGCACTTGCTCTATTGTAAATGATTTTGAGCTATAACATTCAAGGTCTCTAACCATCGGTGACTTTCGTCTCGTGATTCACAACCACGTAGCCTACATCTACCAACATGACTCAGTTCAGTTGTCAGTGACTATGGATTTGTGCCATGTTTTGGTTTGGTAGCACTTAGCTTTCTTCCAACCTATTCCTGAATGGTAAAACATAGCTCGACGAAGCAGTCGATGGTTGGGCATACGTAACACGTGTCCTAACCACCTCAGCTGATGGAGTTTCCATACTTCATCTATTGATTTGAAATCCTTACCTAGCACCCGTTTTCTAACAATAGCGTTGCTGACTCGGTTGTCCCATGGTACACAAACAATGCTTCGGAGATACCTATGATCGAAGACAAGCAACCTACGAATATCTCCTACTCTGATTGGCCATAAAGTAGGATGGAGCAAACTACTGCGCATATATATATATATATATATATATATATATATATATATATATATCATCGTGAACCATTTTAGTTTGCCTTACTCAATTTACTACTCAAGCTTCCAAATGTTTGCAGTCTTCCTAGCGATCTAAATAGTGTGTTATTGAATAGCTGAATGACAAAACTGATGACTGTGGCTGGTAGTAGGACCAATGCAATTTAAGAATTATAAAGGAGGCGACTAATATGGCCAGGTTTTGTACTGATATGTTCAATGTTCGAGGTCATACGAATGATTTTTTTCAATTTATTTTTCTAGAAAGTTAAGATTAGACTCTATAATTTTATTGTAAAGTTAGTTTTCGCTCAATTTATCAAGTCATTTTAATCGTACAGAGTATCAGAAAATTCTTAACAAATAACTGAACAAGTTTGTGGAAATTATTTAAACTGACAGGTAAAACTTAAAACAAACCTCAACTGTTATGTCAAACCACTAACACCTTATACTTGTTCGACTTTCTGACAAATCGATTTTTCAAATAACTTTTCTGGAAACAGAAATTTATACCTATTGTTTCGGATTGTTCTTTTGGACTGCCCATTTGAGCACCAACCATAAAGGCTACCTCTACAAACGTTCGGAACAGAAGTTAAATATACAAATCCGAATTTTTGTTTTTATGAGGTGTTCGATAAACAGTCATTTCGTTGTCCTACACAGGCTAGTATCTTTTGCGAATAAGCGAATGACAGTATGTTGAGTGAATTGTTGACACTTCATTAAGATACTAGTTCAAAATACACAAGGTGTTTTTGATGATGGTTTAAGTTAAAATACTTAATTAGGTAGTTTATTTAGCTCAACCATTAAGTTATGTTTAATTGAAATTGCGAATTAATGAGCATACCACCGCTACTAAAGACTATGAAGCAATGATAGGTCGTTTCGGACTGGTATGGGACTCTTTTCAGAGATGAGTCACCATGGTCCTTTACGTGGGAATCGAACCCAGGGTGCGTAAACAATTAACCTCTAAATAACATATTTCAACCCGTATTCATTTTAGATACTTGTTTCATATCACCGGTCTTCAGACTAAGCAGAGTGAAACTATAGTCGATAAATGAGTTATGTAATGACCAAAGCGCTAACCAGTACAAGATATTTATAAGGTTTTTTTTTTTCCAACCTCTGCGTCGGATAGTTTGTGATCCACTCTCAACAAACGAATCACCCATTAGCGCCAACTAATGATCAGTATGCGTACAACCATTATTTTGATGACTTTTTGACAAGGTTATGACGTGTAATTTGAAACTGGTTTGAAATACACTGATATAATTGAAATATGAATTCAGTTTGTTATATTGTCTCTAAGTTCGATTTAAAGAAGACGGGGATTGATAATTAGTTTTGACATACAAACTAATATTAACGAGTGAACTGTTAAAAAGAACGGATAGTAGTATCTGTTTGCAAAAGCTGGCCACTAAAATTCACTGAAGTCAAAGAAGAATGAGTTTAATAAAGAGGATACATTAGAAGAAATAGCTCAGCTGAAAACGCAATCAAGAGAAACTTCTTTCAGTTAATAGAGTTTATCTCACTTTTATCAAGAATGTGAAATAAATTTGCAGCTGTGTTACTAATGATTTCAATTCTAACCCATGACTGGTAACCGCCCAGAGCCACCAAGTTTTATTATCCCTTTTGTTCATATCCTGACACATTGTCATAAAACTGGTCAACTCGTTACTCTTACAAATCACTCCGATTGTGGTCAATTCATTAACAATGAGTAAGCTGTTTGGATGAGCTTTATAACAATAATATTATCGAATATTCCAAAATATGAGTTGATACCATTGAAAATAGACACAATAAAAAGTTAACATTTTCATTAGGGATTATATTATGCCTTTGACTATCTAATTACTATATGAAGCTGGTCTAGCGTAAGTTGTACAACTTTGACAAACCACTATAAAATCAGTGTTAAGTCAAAATCACTTATCTTTCAGATCAAATAACCGTTCTAGTTGGAAATGTATTTCAACAGGTTTTATTTACAATTCTATCTATTCACTTTGAAATGACAAAAAGTAGTGTGAAATTCAGGTAAATGCATTTGGAGAAATTGAGTAATTACCTCAACTTCTATTCAAAGTAGACAACGATGCTGATGTCTGGAACTAGATTAAACTCTTTACAGTCAACCATCCAACTAAGAGAAAGTGATATGACTAATTATGTCTACTGTTTCCTGTCATAAAATAACGAAAATTATGCCGTCAGAGTGGCCAAACAAAATGACGCAACGATGTAGTATCTTTCATTTTGATCATCTTTATGATAGCACGGGATCACCAGTGTTATCGTTTCAACACAACCTTATACTAATTGATTGATAATCATTATCAAACACTTTCATTTTGTCATTAATCATTATCTCAAAATCTACATTCGTCTTACAATATGGCTTCGACTGACTGTTTTGCCACAATATTTCTCTAATAGTAAAATTGAAGCCGGTAGAGATTTTACTAAGTATACTGTATAAAAAACTTTATTTATGATCAATATTTATGTTCAAAACAAACACTTCTAAAAGGTTTTACCGAAAGGTCTCGTAAAAACGTGCACTAATTTACATAATCATCAGTTTATAAACGTGATGATATGAGATGATGCTATGTAAGAACTTACATTAAAACAACGCTGAAGTCATATCTTTTGAAGAAGGAAAACGTATCGATCAGCTAACTGGTTAGAATTTTTTAATACAAATGTCAAGATAGTTCTACTGTATAGGGCATAAACTTGGTAAACTACCAAAGCCATCATCCAGAGGACACAAGTATTCATTAACAGCTGTCTACGCAAAATACTTCGGATCGGTTGGCCAGACCCTATCACCAACAACCTACTATGGAAGAGAAAAAACTAAATTTCAATGGAGGAAGAAATCAGAAAGAAGCGCTGGAAGTGGATAGGACACACATTGCGGAAACCATTCAACTGCGTCAGGATTCAAGCCCTCATTTGGAACCTACAAGATCATAGGAGAAGAAGAAGGCCGAGGTGTACACTACGCTGAGAAATGGAGATAGACAAGAGAAGAATGAACAAAAATTGGACAGAACTGGAAAAAGAGGTGCAGGACAGAGTAGGTTGGAGAATACTGATCGGCGGCCTACGTTCCATTGTGGGGTAACAGGTGTAAGTAAGTTAATAAGTGTAAGTATGAGCAAATTTCAACTATGATTTGTAATAGAATCCAGAAATGTGAATTAACGTACATTATTGCTTGCATTTTTACATTTTATAAATTACTTTTGCCCTTCTATTTTATTGTACAGTTTCCTAAAAAATGATGGACTATCCCGATCCAGATGCCGGTTATGTGGATGAAGATGAAGAGGAGATCCCGATGGCTGAGCGAGAATTGGCCGAAGATGCTGAATGGAAACTTATTCAAAAGAATACATTCACTCGATGGGCAAATGAACATTTAAAACCGAAAAATGTTACTGTTGATGATTTACAATTTGATTTAGCTGATGGTCTTCGGTTGATTGCATTAGTTGAATCATTATCTGGTCAACAATTTAAACATGTCAATAGAAAACCAAGTTTTCGTACACAGAAATTAGAAAATGTTACAATGGTTTTAAGATTTCTAGAAGAGAATGAAGGTCTTCGACTAGTCAATATAGGTAATTACTTACTTACTCTTAAAATATTACGAAAATTTATCTTCTAATTCTTTTTGTTAAGTTTTACTAATACTGACTGATATTTATTGATTATACAGCTTACATGAATTACGCATACTCTTTAATAAGATCTAGGTCTAGCTTATTGATCATTGCATAATAAAAACTCCGAAGCATATACATTCGTTCGCCAATCAAAACACTGTAGCCATTTATCTCACTCAGTCAGTCATTTACAACGTAGAATTTCGTATGTACGTACGTCAGTTCAAGTTCCCGTGCCACCATATTAGCACAGAGATGCAATTGTCAATTCAAATCTCATAGTAGTAGTGTGGTAGTAGTATATGACGCGAATAAAAACGTAATGTCTGGCAGCAGAAGATGGGGGAAGATCAAGCAAGGAAGAGCTGGAACACAATGGGATTTGTATGAAACGCATGAACAGTGAAATGTCAGACAATTGATTGTTGTTTGCAACAGGAACAGTCCAGTTCGATATGATGGATTGATATTTTGCAAATTAAAGATTTACGATAGGGTTTTCCAATTTTACTGAGTAACTCTGTAATTTGGGGTAAATTCAATTTGGTTGCCCTCACCTATGTTCTCCTTCACTACAGTAGAGCTAGTAGACGTCTCTCATATTTTATTTATAGTTTTTATTTGAACATCAAAAAAACGAGGTTGTAGCGTTTAAAAAATCAAAACACTGACTGGACATTGGATAGATAAAAACTGAACTTGAAATATATTCCAGTTTTTGATGCAATGCAAGGATTCAGTAAAAATAAAGATAAATATTATTGTGAGAATTGGAGAATTTTAAGAGGTTCCGAGCTTTCAAATGAAGGTATACTTCGGTTGATTTGAGAAACTAGTAATTCAGTGGTTACATATCCAAAAACTTGAGTGTGTCAGTTCTGTTTCCATAATCCGATGTATTTCACGTATTTGAAGTTTTATAAGGATAGAAAGGTATGTTTTAACGATTCGCGCTCATAACCGTGAATGAACCAAAATCAATTAGCGTTATGGAGATTAATATATTTACACATTTTTGAAATCATCAATCAATCATTGTTAGACCACCAGCAGAAACATGGAAGCACTGGACGGCCGTTTCGTCCTGATATGGGACTCATCAGCAGTGCGCATCTACGACTCCTGCAACTCGCAGGACTCGAACCCGGAACCTTCGGTATTGTGCACGTGCACCTAACCATTGAACCACTGGGCCGGCATCCAACGGTGTTACTGTCTAACTCTGATTGGCCTGATTGATGATTTCAAGTGTGTAAGGACCAAAATCAGTTGTGTTACGATTCAACAACAAATCTGAATCAGCAGTTTATATAGTATACTGATCTTACTTAGACAACCACTGCAAACTAGGAAGCAATGAATAAATGTGTTATTTCAGTGGTGTACATCTGTGATTCTGGTTTGATGATTAGCAATCCACCCTGAGAGCTTAAGACTTTGGATTTGGTCCCCGGAACGGGTTGAGAGTGCTTCATCATGAAGAACTTCATAGCGTGGTCATAGACTTTTGATTATCATACTTATTTTGTTCTGACAGATACTAAATAATTTCATATTCTTGTTTTTTGTTATAGACAGTTCAGATATTGTTGATTGTCGTAGTAAACTAATTCTTGGCTTGATCTGGACTCTTATTTTACACTATTCAATAACAATCCCACTTTGGGAAGGTGAACCTGATTTTGGAGTGAGTTCAACAAATAAATGTATGGTTTCTGTATTTTTCATCATGTTAGTAATTGTTCCATTGAACATTACACTTCTAATCCAAATGACTGTATACGATTGAAAATTGATCGATAATTAACAGTGATAAAGTTTAAATTATTTTACAGTTTTATATTAATATTTTAAACAGTTAGGAGTAAGCTAGTGAGGCGCGAAATAATTTATTCAACACACTACACATGATTGAAAATGATGTAATAAACACATGTATATGTTAGTTAGTTAGTTAGTTTTGTTTATGTAACAGTAATATGCTTCTCCATTTAAAGTGTATATTGCCAACATTTCTGCTGAGTGTCAACCAGTAAGAAATCTAGGTCTAGAATTCCCCTATCCTGATTATACCCAACCATCTAAGGTCGACCAAAGTAAACTACATTTTTGAATAACTGTTGGGGGATTCGGGGAGATTGTCAAATTTCCACAGTTTCACATCACTGACCTAACACTCAGTTTGACCTTTATCAAAAAACCTAGAAGCATTGGATGGTTTTTTCCTGACTATGGAGTTATGGATGTCTAGTCATTTTTATATGTATTCAAAAATATTGTTCAGATAGTTCTGCCATATGTAATGGTACAATAGAAGAGAGAAATTTCAACAACGTAGACATTTAGTTCAAACATTTTGGATAAAGTACATCAGATTTGAAAATGGTTCTCACCATAAATGGAAGTTGTCAGTCAGTCAGTTAAACATAGAACTTCATACGCAGGTACATCAGTTCAGGTTGCCGTGCCATATTAACACAGACACGCAATTGTCAGTTCATATCCCATAGTTGTAGAGATAGTTGAAGTATTACTGGTAATTGAAAAGGTGCCGATGTAGGCCAAATTTGCAGCAACATTTTGCATTTCGAGGGGGAAATCTGCATCCCAAATATCCCCACATTGTTGCTCAGGGTAATCAAGAGGCTCTGCATTTTATAAGCCTCCTCACCAAGTAAAACTTTGTCATCTTCAACAAGCGAATCTCCTTCCTAGAAGGTCTGCCCCTGAAAAGTCAAACGAAGATAATGTTAACTCTAAAAGCATTTCTACGACAAAGCCAAACAAGAATGGTGAGATTTGACAGCCCTGACGGACACCATATGAAGTAATGAATTCCGAAGATAGTCCACCATAAGTTTTCGAGTAGAGAGCTTGTATGAGGTTAATCATGTACTTCTTTGGTACATCTTTTAATGACACTGTCAAAGAACCTCATTATCACCTGAGTCAAATGCCACCTCAAAGTCCTAGAAGGCAACTATTGTTGGACGTCTAAATGTGTCAGTGTTCCAGGACCTGTCGTAGTGTGAATAGTCGGTCTATACATCTACGTCCAAGTCGAAAACCAGCCTGGTTTTCTCTAGTCTGCTCTTCACGAGCTTTCGTTAAGCTTCAGAGTATTACTGAGGCCAATAAATGGAAGCTGACTGAATGTTTATTGAAAATGCAGAACTGTTTGATGTATTCTTCTTCTAGAATCCGAACGCAGTATATTAGACAGATTGGAACTGCATTCCCTTACTTCCCACAGTCATTGTAGCACCTTAAGTTTACGAAGTTAAAACCTATTCTTCATCGGCTTTCATTTCTATCAATCTGTTACACAGCAAGCACTACGTTTATTGGATAAATACCCTACTACTGAACTTTATAACCTGATTGTAAACTCCGACTGAATAATTAATATGCTCGTCAATTGATTAGCTTAAACTATTACGAGTTCACCTACTTGGTAAACGGAGCGAAGACAGTTGATGCCGTGACATGGTAGGCTATTCGAATCCGTTGTTTCAAGCCCGGCTAACTATATCAAGAAGTCTTGATAAGGTGTAGAAAGTGTATTCTACAAGAACCCAGAACATACTAGGTCGACAAGCACACAAACCAAGCTTATTTATACATGATAGAAACGTCTTTGGGAGAGCCACGAATGACAGTCAAGGATTTTCCATGTGGGAAATGTAAGCCGAAGGTCAACTAAGCAACTTATGCGCGAAAACATCACGTCCCCAACAATAATACACACAGAAATACTAGAAGTATTTCATTACTTCACTGTTTAATTCTATATTTTTACCAAAATTAATCAATCTAATTTCTGCAAAAACAAAAATTTCCCCTTTTAATCTTAAATTTCTGTTTTATTATTACATTTCCTAAAGATGGAACTAAATTTCTGATTTATGAATTTAATGTTTCCCAGTAATTTATTACCCTACTAATTAACAGAGATTTTATATTATTTTTTTTAATATTGAAACGAGGCACACACTGTTTACGCCCACAATATATTATTGTGGAGGATAAATAAACAACCAGCCAGCCAGCCCCTATAAACGGTTGTTTTTTTTTCTCTCAAATCAATCTCATTGCATTTTATTTGTTTATTCACTCACATAAACTCAGTTGTTTGTTTTGTTTTCCTGTCCTGTCTCTCTGTGTGCGTACATCTCCAATTACGTGAATCAATGTAGGCATGTCTAGTTCTCATTACTATTATTTTTTTTCTGTTCTTAATCATTGCCGTCTCATGCAATAACTACTCTCTCTTATTCACGCCTGCCTAACCCCACGTACATTGATTGCGTAGACTTGTTCAAAAAAACTCTGTTGTTTTTTGTCAGCAGTAATAATTCCGTTTGATCAATGTCTCCAATGGTTGGAGTTTAATGGGAGACAAAAAAAATTGACTATTGATTTTTCTTGTTTTAAACAAATCCAAAACACTTACTATTAGAGAATGATGAATTTATATAATATAATTTGTGACCGTAGTCAGGCGTTTCCTTCCGGATAATGAATGATACAGTCATAAATGAATTCAAATGAAATGAAGTATCATTACGAACGGAGATTGATTTATTTGGATATTAACTTATCAAAATAGTATGGGGAAATAATGGGAAAACTTCATACTATCATGGCTCAGTTGGAAGTGTGATGACAGTTTTTCAACATTTCACATCATTCAAAACAGTGGTTCCCTTTGATAAATTTGAACAGAGCAATGAGAAGACATATTTTGTGAGATAGTACCATTTCGTGCTTTCTCGTCAGTCACATCATGATTCAAATAGTATTTAACTGATATGAGATAATGATTCATTGTTAAACGAAACTTTTTCATTGAAGTACCGATTGTAGATAAGCGAATAAGATAAAGTGAGTAGTGGGTTAGTATTATCTGTCTAATCGGTGTGTTTTTGTGACACACGTGTAATCAGTAGTCACTGAAGGGCACAGAAGACCTGAAACCACAAAACACAATGTTAACTAAGAACTTCCACACGAAGAGAGAGAACTTGTCATTGTAGCCATAGGTGTTTTATTTGAAAATTAAAATTTACAGGTTTTGTACAGAAGGAAATGCCTTATTTACAAAATAGTCTTATGAGTCATCTTGCAAGTTCAGCGTGCGTAGGGCTAACTCTTCAGCTTCTTAAACGTTTATCCTTGATCGCCTTGCAATAGAAAGAGAACGAAATCAGATTAATAACGTCATACACAGTGATTTCAACACTGTTACATACTGGTTAGGCGAAATCAGATAAGAATCATGACCTAATCGCCCAATAATTAGTTAAAGAAAAGTTTTTGACGTAGCTAAGAGTTCGAAGTATCTGTTAGGAATGAAACAAACATCTTCAAAGTTAGTTACCTCTGAAACATATTTAACTGGTCATGTAGACAATGGATTGCTTTAATATCTGAACTTCTGTTGGGGATGTTAGATCCCCAGAACTCACTTGATAAATGCCTTAATGTTGGATTTCACGTTTGCGAGCATAGGCTGATCAGTTGACCTTGAGATTTCATTTCCTACCAGGCTGCGATTGGCTTCTGTGTATTTTAGTGTGCTATTTTCGTAACTGTCCCAAGGACGTTTCTATGATGCATAATAAATAAACGAGAGTTGTGTGCTTGATTGTATTGTGATTTCTGGGTGTTTGTAGAATATGCTTCCTACGCTTACCAAGACTTCTATTTTACAGTTTGGGATTCAAGGTAGCCTACATGGACGCTGTTAATTGTTTCGTTCGCGTTTATCGACTAAGGTGAACTCGTAATAGCTTCAAGCTTACCTAGTGACCTAGTTAATTCAATGCTATTTCGGCACTTGGTTGAACATGGTTGAACTCTATTGAGTTATGGCGTTTCAATGGAACTTTACGACAATGTACTCCGATGGTTATCTAGTAATCTAAACTCATGGTTTTCAGATGTTTTTTACACATTTGAAATCATCAATCAATCATTGTTAGAACACCATTAGAAACCTGGAAGCACTGGACGGCCGTTTCGTCCTAGTATGGGACTCCTCAGCAGTGCGCATCCACGACTCCTGCTCCTCGCAGGATTCGAACCCGGGACCTTTGGCATTGTAGGCGAAGGCCTTACCATGTTTTTTTAAAATCACTTTAGCTAAATATTCCACAAACTCTTTCATATTCTGATCAATTATCGTGTTTATCATTACTCTACACATTACATAGTATCAGTCACTAGTTTGACAAGAACCAAAGAAATTATTAATAACACAGTAATATTTACTGGCAAATCAATCAATGTCAATTCAAAAATATTTCTGTGATTTGTTTATCTTCAGAAGTTTTATCGACACAGATATAAACGAGTTATGAACCCAACAACAGTTCAACCATTAGGACCGAAGCTGTTTTACAATTACACTGATGATCAATTTATGGTTAGCTTATGCACATGCAAATACCCACACACACAAGCACTCACTCACGATGTGTTATTTTGCTGTGAATCACTATTATTTACTGCACCGAATTTAGAGTGTGATTGACATTTTGTTACTTTTTCGACACATTATTTTGTGGTGTTTTTGGTAAGGTTGTTTAAGTTGGTGGTTATTTCTGATAAGCTTTACCTTTGTCACTGGTCTAATTACTGATTTTTTTCATATTTACATTTAAATAGGCTCAAGGTCCAACACCGAAACAACGTCTTTTAGCATGGTTAAATAATAAATTAGCTGATAGACCAGTGAAAAATTTCACAACAGATTGGAATGATGGTATCGCCATCGGTGCATTGGTTGATGCATGTGCACCAGGTCTATGCCCGGATTGGCGTGAATGGGAACCGAAACAAAATCTTCGCAATGCTCGCGAAGCAATGGGTGCAGCTGAACAATGGTTAGATGTTCCACAATTGATACGTCCAGAAGAGATGACTAATCCTAGAGTGGATGAAAAAGCTATGATGACTTATTTAAGTCAATTTCCTAGTGCTAAACTTAAAGATGGTGCACCTTTACGACCAAAATCTAATCCTGGTCTTGTTCGAGCTTATGGTCCTGGTAAGTGAATATTACTTTGTTCATAATAAATCATAAACAATTCTTTTGACTATAAAGGTTACATTTTATCAGTTTTTTTTATCCTGTGTCTGCATTCCGGTCTTCCTTTTATGTTCAAATAAAATAAACTGACTAAATTTAGATTTTAGGCTAGATATTCTAATAACTAAGTTGATAGAAATTTAATTATCCTGTTAAGGTTCAGAGAAATGCTTTCTGATAAAAATACTCTTTTCATTAACACATTTAAATAACAGTCAAGATATTTTGTAAACTAAATGCAGTCAAGAATTGTCGATCATATCATCATAGTTAATTATAATAAATGTAACGAGCCTAATGTGAGACCTAGGATAACTGCTATATTAATTACACTCACACGGAGGTTTTGGCTACATACTGCTGGAGGTTATCATATTCAAATAAAACAACATTTTAACACTCCCTCACTTACTTTCACCTGTTACCACTAGCGGTGTATAGGTTGCTGACTAGCATTCTTCAACTTACTCTTGCCTGAGCCTTCCTTTCTAGTTTTGTCTAAATGTTGTTCATTCTTCTCATGTCTGTCGCTGTTTCTCGGAGTAATGTACTTCTTTGAACATTTTCTTTCTTTTTGACCTTGAGGATCCCCACCTAAGTTTTCTATAAACCATCTGGGAATGTCAGTAAATGAGTTAAAGCATTTGTAAACTAGTTAAGTCTCAACAAGAAACAGTACCATGTAGTTTATAAAGACAGCTTTTTTCAGAGTGATCGTATTTTTAAGGACAGTATTTTAAATGCACAGTCATCAGAGTTAATTATTGAACGATTGTTTCTAGAATTAAGATTACATGACAGTTCATAAGACAAATAGACAACCTTGATAATGAGGTGATTAGTTACTCAGTTCTGAGTACTGATAATCAATCACTTGTTTACCTATCTAATTTATCAAATAAAATTTTATTTCTGTCAATATATTTCATACACACTCAGACACATATGAATGCACTAAAAATATGTTTTAAGATATTTCATTATAGAGTTATGGAGATGATTGGGTTTATTGAAATTATAAAATCGGTCATTGTTAGACCACCATTAGAAACCTGAAAGCAGCGGATAGCCATTTCGTCATAGTATGGAACTCAGCGGCAGTGCGCATCCCAGACCTTCGCTCGCTAAAATCAAACCCATACTAGAACGAAGCGACCGTTCAGTTCGTCCAGGTTTCTAACGGTAGTCTAACAATGACTGATTTATAATTTCACTGAAATAAATTTCACTTAAAACTCACCTTTACTCCGATTTATGTGATATGAGAATGATCAAGTTTCTTATTACTTCTACTAAATATCTGATTTGCATTAAGTTAAAATTTCTGTCATTTTTATTTGGTTATTTATTCCCTGAAAAAGACACCAACGGTGAGTCACTAAACGACAGAAATTCAACTTTTTGAGATACCACAAATATAGATTATTACTACCTTAATTAATGTGAACAAATTCACATCACGCTTAATCTATTTAAAATTAACAAATCAAACCTTCGTGGAGAAAACTTGTAGTTCAGGTGGATGATTGTGGTGGTGGTGTTTCGTTCTCTGAGCTGGATGTTGTTTTGGTTGTGGAGCTTTCTGTGTTCTTCTGAACAGTACAACATCATCAGCACAAACTTCAGATAGAAGTGAATCATTCGAATTTCTCCACGTTTGACCTGTAGCTTGTTCTATGTCCTATATCATAGGATCAAGAAACAGATCAAAAAGGGGGTGCAATCAAAACAAATGTGCAAACAATGACAGGTTGAAGGTCAACAACAACCAATCAAGCTACAGGTCAATGCTTCACTTATATCTGCAGTTTGTGCTGATGATGTTGTTCAGAAGAACAATGAAAGCTCCACAACTAAAGCAGCATCCAGCTCAGAGAACGAAACACCACCACAAACCTTCGTAGAGATAACAACTGATGAAATTGTATTCCCAATTTCCAAGACGTTTGTCTTCTAGCATCATTTGGTTGATAGTTTTTTTAACGTTTTTCTAAGCCTAAACATTACCGGTGTATACCTAGAGAATAAGTAGAATCGTATTTTGCATATATCAACAGCCATGACAAACCACATGTTCAGATAAAAAATAATTTATTTACGGGTCTTGTTGTATGTAATTTGAAAGACGTGAGACTTCTAGAAGTCTATCAAATGTATATTAACATATTTTTACTGATTTCGATGAAAATGTGTTTCTAAAAATGCCTTCACTCAAATAGTACATTTGACAGAGAACTTCCAGCTTCGAACCAGCTTAATGATGGAAACCGTTTACTAGTACTGGGTTTTATTTTGCTTAGGTTAGAATAAATACTTTGCTATCTATAAACAGATGATCGTAGTTGTTCAACGTTGTTCTGGCATTGTTGAAATGGTTTTGTCATAACAAACAACAAAATTATATTAAAATTACTCCATCGGAGTTTATAAATCATAAATCTTAGCAAAAACTATCAGTAAATTCATTTTATCTACAGCTTCAGAATATTTATTTAACTAATTTCTTTATACTTAGATAATAATAAATTTAGAATGAAAGGAGATAAAAATACACTTGTTTGGTTATTTATTAAAAAGCTCACAAACTAAATGGTAGTCAATTTTACTTTATTTCATCCTCACTAAAGTCTATCTATCAGTTTTGAGGCAGAGTCATTGAGTAATTTACTGTCCCGATGTTCTACACAATATTTCATACTTAAATAATGTAAAGAAATTAGTGACCTTGGATGAAATGGATCAAAATCCTACGGATCATTCTACCATGCATAACTTATAGCACACAAATCAACAGAATCACTTCAACAATCAATCATTGTTAGACCACCATTAGAAACCTGGAAGCACTGGAAGATGGCCGTTTCGTCCTGGTATGGGGCTCATCAGCAGTGCGCATCCACAACTCCTGCTGCGCACATGATTCGGACCCGGGACCTTCGTTACTGTGCGTGAACGTCTAACCATCAGACCACTGGGCCGGCATCCAACAGTCTAAATGTCTAACTCTGATTGATATAGGTATTTTGCGTGACCTCACCTTTGGTAGTTACTGCCTACACCCGACAGGGTTGAACTCCATTGGTCACGTCTTCTCAACTAGAACTCCGAGAATTTCCTTACGAAGTTAGTCACTAGTGAGCACTGTTACGATATTTTGGGGCAGAGTTTTGGATGGCCGTCCAGTGCTTCCAGGTTTATAATGGTTTATCTAACAATGATTGATTGATGATTTCAAATGTGTAAAAATACAAACCTCCAAAACACTACCTCAAAAGAATCACTTCAGTCAATCCCATGCAGACCATTGGACAAAATGACAAAGGAAGAAAAACTAAATATCATCTATAAAATAAATTGTTGAGATTATGAAAAACACTACATAGGACAAAGTGGACTCCTTCTTCAGCTTCGTTTGTGTGAACAACAATCAATCAGTAGTCAAATACAATCGGACAACTATAGACATATGTTAGGTCAATCAGCAATCAACAAACATTTCGACATGGACCCAGTTTATCAATCAATCAGAAAAAATCATAGTTGACATAGGTTCTAGAAACAGATCAAAAAGGGGATAAAATCAAAACAAAGGTGAAAACAACGACAGACTTAAGTTCAACAACAACGAATCAAGACCGAGGTTAACAGTACAAGCTAAGGGTCGAATGCGGAAAAATTTGAATACTTCACTTCTATCTGAACTTTATGCTGATGATGTTGCATTCAGAAGAAGAACTATGAAAGCTTCACAACCAAAACATCCAGCTCAGAGAACGAAACACCACCACAATCATCCATCTGAGCTACAAATTTTCTCCACCATCTCAAAATACATAGTTAAATGATGTTAAGATATGAGTGATATTAAATGACATGGGTCGTAACTAATAAATAATAGCCATTTTCTATATTGAGATGGCCTTTTTAATTACTTGTCTCAATAAACATTACATATAATTTCAAGACTTCTTAACCACTTTAACTAATCCCCTCCATTAAATGTAATTATGTACATTCTCATCAGTGCACAATTCACAAAAATATACGACAATATATATAAGCTTTTTTCTAATTGAAAAGAAATTATCATGTCATTAATTTATATCCTAACGACATATGTTGTTAAATATATATATCAATATAATATATATGAAAAAAAATTATTTCCTACCAGTTTGTAGACAATGCCAACCAAGACTGAAAGATTTCATTGATTAGAATGATTTCCCTTTCTGTCAACATTTCCTTATAGGGTATAATGTCTTTACATTATAATGAAGTTCTTTGGTGGTATTTGTGATGGACTGACGTAAGTAAACGTACCATTAAAAGTTAGGGTTTCCTGGAGTAAATGTTTCATTATCATGTAAAAGTCTTCACCCTCGTGCATCTAAAACCTCATCGAGGCCCAAAATCCATTAGACAACAATATTAAAATCATGTACTCGTTATTGATTAGATAATTTCCTGTCCAATTGTCCCATTAGATCACAAGGTGATTAATATCCCTAACCCATCAGTTTAAAGACTGAATGCTCACCATGAGGGACAGATATCCAGAATTCCTAAACTTCCCAGTTTTACGATTCCTTAATACTATCAGAAAAACCATAGTTCAGTACTTCTTGATCTTCACTAGGACACCAACCGATATCTACCTGTGATGTAACCCACTTACACAGTAAGCCGATCTGCACAAAGACTAATAGTTTACAAGATTTTTACAAAATATGAATGTCTCCTGATGTTACTACTGAATAAAATTTTCATCAGGGAACCCCAAAATATCTCTTGGAAAGACTTACAGAGGCGCGGAAACGTCAGAAAGTGTTTTATCTATTCGCAATAGGATTAGACCTCCGCAGTAACATCTATAAAATTCCAAATCACCTACCACGATTCTGAATGGATATTTAGGCATGCCCTTACCGTATTTAGTTTAGTTATCGAAACTCCTA